ATGACATGATACTTACATATTTATAGGAATACAAAAGTGATCAAATGGTGAATATGGAGAAAAATCATTTCCTCAAACTTCAAGATACATCAGTTGTATGGTTTGATGTGGAAATGATGTGTATCCTAGAAGTGAAAAACATGGAAATTATATATATATATATATATATATATATATATATATATATATATATATATATATATATATATATATATATATATATATATATATATATATATATATATATATATATATATATATATATATATATATATATATATATATATATATATATATATATATATATATATATATATATATATATACTAAATGGCAATAATAGACTTATTTTCTAAAATCTATAGAAGTTGTATTAAGCAATATGTTAACTATTTATGCTCGTTCATAGTACTTGTGTATGAATATTATATTCTGTCTTTTTATAGAAAATATATATATAGCTTTTCACCAAATAAAATAGTTGAATGTGTTTGAATATACTTTTCTATATATAGAAACAAAAAAGAACAAATGCTTGGTTTTTTCCTCCCGCCATTCTCTTTCTCATTTAATAATAATGATATTTTATTTTTTACTTATGAAATAATTTTTTTTAACTTTTGAATTATTTTATATAAATTCTTTGATAAAATTAATTATCAGTATCATTAGTGTAAATTGTTTTAAAATTGAAATAAATTAAAAAATGACATGACAATGAATTTTACTATTTGATTAATTGAAGGTATATGTATTTAAAACTGTTAAATTAAACTGAATTGTCAATTTGAATCAAACTAAAATTAAAATAATTGAACCGTTTACTGAACCAAATTATATAACACAAACAGTATTAAAATTGTATTAAAATTAAAAACTGAGCCGGATCTAAATCGGAAAAAGATAAATACAAAAAATTAGCTTTAAAATTTTTAAAATAAATGTTTGAAAAATAGTTTAATAGTTCAGTACTTTAATTAATTATTTGACTTAAAAAAAATTATTTCCTAACGGTTTAAAATTTCTAAATTAGGATATGATAAACTAATAATTTAAATTCGTTTCTATTATGAGTAAAATTCAAATGAACTTTTACTATAATTTGTTGCGGTCAAAGGCTCTATCGATATCCAATTGAGCTTAAAGATACCCGAGTTTCATCATTATTTTATATGGCTCTTGTTTTATAAAGATATAATATAGTATTACTTATAAAAAGATAATGTAACAGTAGTAGTATGTAGGAGTTAAACCCTTAGTCATTAAGATTGTGAATAATTATATATTTAATATAATTTATTAGAGAAATAGTAAATCCTAAAAAGTGATTTAGAAAAATAAATAACTAATTAAAAAGGAGCTTAGTTTTCCTAATTTAATAGTTCATAATTAACTCAATATATAACCTGTACTGTATAAAGAACATTGACGGAATAAGTAGTTATTTGAGTAAAAAGAAAAAGAAACAACTTAATGTATTGTATAAAGAACATTGATGGAATAAGTAGATATTTGAGTAAAAAGAAAAAGAAACAACTTAATGACCGCAGCAACTTCTCTTTACACACACAGCATAATATATTTACACTTTTTTTAGTATATTTTATCTTTTGTAGTATTTTACCACTATATTTTAAAGTATATTTTATCTTTTTTTAAAGTACATTGTACTAGATAAATTATGAAATATTTATCTTTTAAGTGAAACATTTATCTTGTCATTGCTTTCTGTAATCAAGAGATCATCAACATACAAATATAGTATAATAACACCATCAACCTGTAAATTAACTTATAAATTTACAGTCAGGCACTAAACCATTTATATTGACTTGATAATATCTTGCAGTTTAAAAATCTTTAAAAAGGGTAAATAAATATATAAATTTTCATTATCAATTTTCATCCACTGTGGTGAATCTGCCGGATGTCGATACTTCCCATCTACAATTCTATCATCTGCATGCCAAGTCAGGTGTTTTGCATCTGTTTCACTACGAAACATGCGTCTGAATCTCAGAATTATAGGAAAATACCATATTACTTTTGCTGGTGACAATTTTTTCTTATACCGAGATACACCGCATTTAGGACACTCGTTTAATGATGCATATTCATTTCGAAACAAAATGCAATCATTTGGACAAGCATGTATCTTATCATAGCTCATGCCAATAGAGCATAACATTTTTTTAGCTTCATAGGTTCGATTGGGAAGAACATTATCCTCCGGAAGCATCTCTTGAAGTAGGGCTAACAACTCTATGAAACTTTTATCCGACCATCCATTACCCGCCTTTAAATTGTACAACTTTAATACCGCGGACAATCATGTGAAAGTAGTGCAACCTTTATACAACGGTTTCTCTACATCGTTACCAACCTCTCAAACATCTTGGGACAATCTTGAAGATCTTCTTCAAGTGCTTCTGCAATCTCTTCGACTCGATCACAATTATATGTATCCCTGCCATTGTCCTTTGAAGCACATGTCGTATTATTCTGGGGTTCAACATTCTCGTTACTTATCTCACCATGTAATGTCCAACATGTGTAACTTCGATCAATTCCATGTCTTATTAAATGAGATTCCAACTGAACGGCGTCAACTCGACGCCCATAATAGCATCCTAAGCAAGGACATGTGATCCTACTGGGGTCTTTGGCGTGTTCAACAACAAACTTAACGAACTTCGATACCCCATTCTCGTACTCTTTTGACAATCGATTATCAGACATCCATTTTTTATCCATACTAATTGAGTAATCTACACTAAACTATAAAAGTTAAACAAAACAGAGAATACCTGTAAGGAAATCACTAACTTCTAAGAATGCTACGCAATAGGATGCTTGGAAACGATCACAACTTTGCTCTTCACAGGTAACCCCTATAGCCGACAAAATATAAATTTTATTAAAATCATATTAATAATTAACCAAGACAAATCATATTAAAAATACTAGATAATCCACCAAAACAAATCATATTAAAATTACTAGATAATCCTTAAACCAAAATGACACCCTTACTAAATATTGAGAAATCCTAACTAAACATATAAAACCATAATAACATATAAAACCATATCATATAAAACCATATTCATGTTGGTTTTATAAACTCTCTTATCCATATAAAACTCTATTAAACAATATAAACTCTCTTAAAAACTCTCTTATACATATAAAACTCTCTTAAAAAATATATGTATAAACTCTCTTATCCATATAAAACTCTATTAAAAAAATATAAAACTCTCTTAAAAACTATCTTATACATATAAAACTCTCTTATCCATATAAAAGTCTCTTAAAAAATATAAACTCTCTTAAAAACTCTCTTATACATATAAAACTCTCTTAAAAACTCTCTTATAAACTCTCTTATAAACATTGCATTTTCATGACCAAACAGTTATCACAAACAATGGTGAAACTCTCTTAAACCTTGAAACTCTCTCAAACAATGGTTAAAAACTCTCTTAAAAACTCTCTTATAAACTCTCTTATAAACAATTATCACAAACAAAACTCTCTTATAAACTCTCTTATAAACTCTCTTAAAACATACAAAACATAAACTCTCTTAAAAAATATAAACTCTTGTAGAAAACATATTCAATTCAAATACTTAACTCTCATATATAAACTCTCAAATCTAAACTCTCAAATATAAACTCTCAAATATAAACTCTCATATAAACTCTCAAATAAAAACTCTCTGTTATACTTAAAGATTACAGCAACAATGGTGAAAACATATTCAGTTCTACTTAACTTGATTGCATTCAAATAATAAAAACATATTCAGTTCTACTTAAAGATTACAGCAACAATGGTGAAAATATACGTAAAAAAGAAAACCAGACTAAAACTTCAAATATCGTAACAATGGCGGAAATGCAATGTAGACGAGTAGAGGGACGGTGAACGGCTGCGAAATGCAACAGAGGAGGGCGACGGTTGGACGGACGGTGACGGTTGGACGGCAACGGTGGTTTATAGGGCAACGCTCTTTGTTCGCCAGAGAAAAAGAAAGAAAGAAATACGTAATATGACTGTTCTGTTTCTCATAAAAATTCTGGTGGGTATTTTAAATTAATTCTAATAAACCTATAGCAGCGCTTTTTAATAGCTTTAGCAGCGCTTTAAAAAGCGCTCTCAAAGACCTTCTAATGTAACCCATATAACAGCGCTTTATGGAAAAAGCGCTCTTGTAGACCAGACCTACAACAACACTTTAGAAAAGCGTTGTCTTTGGGCTGTCTTAGACCCCCCATTTAGCAGCGCTTTTTGGAAGCGCTGCCTTAGGACCCCCCTTTAGCAGCGCTTTTTAAAAAATGCTGTCTTTGGACTGTCTTAGACCCCCCTTTTAGCAGCGCTGTCTTAGGACCCCCATTTAGCAGCGCTTTCTGAAAAAGCGTTGTCTTAGGTTATCAATATTTTTCTTTTTTTTTAATTCCTCTTTAGCAGCGCTTTTTCTAAAAGCGCTGTCTTTGTATGCACTGCTAAATGTCATTTCTGGCGTAGTGTTACCAGAAATGATCATAATCTGCAAAATGATCATAACCTGCATAATTGCATAATTACCATAAATGATCAAAATGTCTCTCAATGCAGGAGACATCTGAAGCTGTTACTGCAACGAGAGCACCATTACTCCTAGCTTCCATACATGCTTTTGTTATTGTTTTAATAGTAAAATATTTCATTGTAAATGTTCTACAAGTATGAAATTCCATTGGATTCTAGTTATGTACCTTCATATTTTCCTCTCTGCATAATTAATCAAAACTCACAGGTATAAAATAATAACACTACTACTAATGTCTTATAGTGCTTTTTGTAACACCCCCTTTCTATACCCCAAATAATTCAAATAATCATTTAGGCACAAAATAAAAATTCCATCAGAGTATAATTGCATACATGGCATAAAAGAGGTATGTCACATTATCCATGAAATTGAAACATACAACACCTGTTCAACATTTGATATGCAACAGTGGGGTAACTTTGCAACGCAGGAACTTAGTCCTTACAAATATCTTCTGCAACAAGCTTCTAATAGGTTGCATATTTAAGTTAAGTTTTTTTTTGATAGGGCTCCGATAGTTTATTTTAAACTTTTTTTGTTACATCTCATTTATATTTAATCATAATTAAATATTAAATTAGTCATAAAAATATATTATTATATAATTAATTTCTTACACATTATTTTTACCTACAGTTTTAATAGCGAAGAGCCAAAACCCAGCCTTGGGGGCTCTGTAGCAAAACTAACCAAGGCAGAACAGGATAGAATGGCAGGTGTGTAGTCATTAATTTTTAAATTTTGAAAGCCAAATTATATTTATTCTCTATACTAATAGTCGTATGTTTAATTATGAAAATTGGTATCGTAGGATTGGATGGAGTGGTGGCTATCTTTCCTGTTAAAAAGAGAACTATCCTTGCAATAAAATCCTGGGATTTTATTGGTCTTCCAATGAACGTGAAAAGAGAGTCTTATGAATACGACGTGATCATTGGAATAATAGATTCTGGAATTTGGCCAGAATCTGAGAGTTTTAATGATAAAGTCTTTGGTCCACCACCAAACAAATGGAAGGGAGTTTGTCAAACCATTAATTTCCCATGCAACAAGTAAGATACTAGCATTAATCAAAAACTTAAATATATCTAAATAGTCATTTTAAATGTTTAATTAAATTTTTTCTATTTTTTGATGTTATAGCCGGACTTAATTGCTCCTGGAGTTATGAAGTTGATATCATTGTTGGTTGTACATAAAGAACTAGCATTTAACATCATCTCAAGAACATCCATGACATGTCAACACGTCTCTGGTGCAGCAGGATATATCAAATCCTTCCGCCCTACTTGGTCACCCGCTGCTATTCGGTCCGCTTTAATGACAACAAGTATATAAATAATCACGATGCTGAATTCGCTTACAAGGCTAGTCAAATTGATCCGATGAAAGCTTTAAACCCCGGGTTAACATATGATGTTGGAAAAATGGATTACATAAGTTTTTTTTTAATGTAATTTAGACTACAACAAATCCGTCATTACATTTATCATGGTGAATCGATTTATCTGTTCCAATATATCATATATATTTGCATGTGATTTAAATTATCCATCGTTTGCTTTGAAAGCATCAAATCCGCTCAACATAAGAGAGACCTTCAATGAACTGTTACAAATGTTTGATCGCCATCGTCCACATATAGAGCATTTCTGTCAGTTTCTGATGGACTCAACATCTCAGTTAACACCATACCAGAAAAATGGTGAAGCTAAAATAAAATTAAAAATAAATCAATATAGCACATTATATAAAAGAAAGATGAATATTACAAAATATCTTGTAAAAATATTGTATACATCATTTTGACTATGGTTACGACTAAAATTAATTTTACAAATAAACCTATAAAATGTGTGGCATAAAGTTCTAAAAAAAAAACTTCCAAAACAAATAATATCATTATTGCTAAATATTTGGATGAAAAAAGTTAACTCAAAAAAGCTTCCACAAGTTCACTTTCTGACGCGCAATGAAAAAATATTATAATTCTAGAATTATTCATGAAGAAATCTTGCAAAGAAAAAACACTAATATTCATCACGGAATCTTATACTTTTCAATTATATGTTTATGCATCTATGATTTATAAATCTCACATTTAAATATGGAACAAATAAATGCATAAACATTATAAGCTATCATTCATATAATTTTCATATCAAGAATAAAACAGAATGTATTATTGAAAAGAAAAATAATAGTTATAAGGCTTAATTACAATTATGGTCTTCCTATTTTGTATTTTTTTGAGTTTCGGCCCCTCCATTTTAAAAACCACGATTTTGGTCCCTTTTTTATGTTTTGAGTTTGATTTTAGTCACCTCTCCAATTTTAAATTTTTTTTATGATGTGACACTATCTAAGATGACTTGTCTAATGCCATGTCATTTTTAAAAAATTAATTAAAGATTTTTTTATTGACTAGGATAATTAACTTATTAATATTATTTTAATTAATAATGATTAATATTTTATTATTACGATATGATCTAAAAGTGCTTAATGTTGTAGTATAAAATGTCTTTTAGAAGTCCCACATTGATTTTTGTATAAAATATAAAAGTGTTTATAAAGCTGAATCAAACACAACAATTCAATTGTGGATTAGAAAGATGGTTCAAAGACATGAGTCAATAACTAAAGGCCCAAAGAGTTTCATTTAAAACTTTAATTATATAATTAATTATAAAAATTAATAATATAATATTAATCATTAATTAATTAAAATAATATTAATAAGTTAATTATCCTAGTCAATAAAAAAAGTCTTCAATTAATTTTTTTAAAATGACATGGCATTAGACAAGTCATCTTAGATAGTGCCACATCATAAAAAAAATCAAAATCATGGTTTTTAAAATGGGGGACCAAAACCCAAAAAAATATAAAATAAGGGGACCAAAGTTGCAATTAAGCCTAGTTATAATATGTATCTAATTCGGCTTTGATATCAATTGAAAGATTTGATTGAATCGAAGAAGTATAAATTATATCATATTGTTATATTAAAGAATAATCGATAACATAAGATTGATTTATCTTGTAGGATTTACCCTAATTGTCGTTTAGGATTTTCATAGTATGTTAATTGTCTAATGAGTACGTTAATTTTCTCAACTCTTCACACACAATATTTATATATTTGCGCATGCGCTTATATATATATATATATATATATATATATATATATATATATATATATATATATATATATATATATATATATATATATATATATATATATATATATATATATATATATATATATATATATATATATATATATATATATATATATATATATATATATATATATATATATATATATATATATATATATATATATATATATATATATATATATATATATATATATATATATATATATATATATATATATATATATATATATATATATATTAATGTTGTATTTGTTGGTGCAAAGATAGAATAAATGATGAAATAGGGAAATATTCTATTAAAGAGAATGACGGCTACAAAACATGATATTTGGTTACAATGATTGTCACCCTATTTATAAGCTAAAACTAGGGTTACTAGAATAAGATAAATACTAAAATACCCTCTAACAAACTTATGGGCTTAAGAAAGTAATATAATAAAATATGAATTATTACTAATACCATCCCTTAATTCATATTCCATCAAAACTTGTAACACCAATTCCATCCCTTAATCTGAGAAATTGATCAGTCTTGATAGCTTTCGTCAGAACATCTGCCAACTGCTTCTGAGTGCTGCAGTGTACAACTTCTAACACTCCACTCTGAACTTGATGTCTCAGAAAATGATACTTGGTCTCAATATGCTTGCTTCTCCCATGCAGCACTGGGTTTCTGGCAAGATTGATTGCAGACTTGTTGTCAATCATCAACTTCAGAGGTTTGTCTACTTTAATCTTCAGATCCTGCAACAGATTCAGAATCCACACAGCTTGGCATGCAGTAACAGCACCTGCAATGTATTCAGCTTCACAGGTTGACAACGCCACAACAGGTTGCTTCTTGGAACACCAAGAAATGGAACCTCCCAGAAATTTGAACAAGTACCCAGATGTACTTCTTCTGTCAACTCTGTCTCCACACCAATCAGAGTCTGAATAACTCAGAAGTTCTGACTCATTATTTCCTCCAGAGGGAAATAACACTCCATACTTCAGAGTTCCTTTGATATACCTCAGAATCCTGACAGCAGCTTGATAATGGGACCACTTAGGTTTACTCATGAACCTACTAACCATCCCAACTGAGTAGCAAATATCAGGTCTGGTATTGCACAGATACCTCAGGGAACCAACCAACTGTTTAAAGGTTGTAGCATCCACATCCTTTCCTTCAGAGTCTGAATCCAGTTTCTGATTTGTATCAGAAGGTGTGACAGCCATCTTACAATTCTTCAGATCAAATCTCTTCAGAAGTTCTAATTCATACTTGAGCTGATGCAAAATGATACCTTTCTCAGAGTATCTGAACTCCATCCCTAGAAAGTATGTCATTTTGCCTAGATCAGTCATTTCAAATTCATTCATCAGAACCTTCTTGAACTTGGCTATCTCCTGTTCAGAACTTCCAGTCAATAGTATATCATCAACATATAAACATACCAGAGTCATATTGCCTTCAGAAGTATGCTGAACATAGACACCGTACTCCATCTCACATTTCTGAAAGCCTTGCTTCTTGAAAAATGAATCAATCTTCTGATTCCAAGCTCTGGGCGCTTGTTTCAATCCATATAGAGCTTTGTATAATCTGTACACCATCCCTTCCTGATTCTTTTTCATAAATCCAGGAGGTTGTGACACGTAAACTTCTTCTTCTAATGAACCATTCAGAAATGCAGATTTTACATCTAAATGCATCAGAGGCCAATTCCTGTTAGCAGCTATTGCAATCACCATTCTGATTGTTTCATGTCTTGCTACAGGTGCAAACACTTCAGAATAATCCAGCCCAGGTTTCTGTAGAAATCCTCTGGCTACCAACCTTGCTTTATGTTTGCCAATTGAACCATCTGGCTTTAACTTCTGCTTGAAAACCCATATGACGCTGATGGCTTTCTTGTCTTTTGGAAGTTCTGTCAGCTTCCAAGTCTTGTTTCTCTCTATAGCATCAAGTTCTTCTTTTATGGCCTTCAGCCAGAGCTTCTGCTTAAGAGCCTCCTCTGTACTTATAGGTTCAGAGTCTACTAACATGGCACACTGAATAACTTCTCCTTCAGAGTCTACTTCAGTGTCTTGCAGCATGTCAAATTCTGCAAATCTTCTGGGGACGTTTCTGATTCTTTGTGGTCTCTGAACTTGTTCAGAGTCTTGGGATTCAGATGATTGACTTTCTCCAGAGCTTTGACCAACTTCAGGATCTGACATATTTCCAGAGTCTTGAACTTCAGAATTTCTAGCTTCAGAGGCTTGACTTCCTCCAGAGCCTTGGCCATCTTCAGAGTCTGGATCATCAGAGTCTGGACCATCAAAGTCACCTTCATCTTCTGAGTCTTCTCCAGAGTCAGAATCACTATCAGAGTCAGAATCAACGTCAGAATTTACTTCAACTTCAGAAATTCTTAACTCTGACCTTTCTTCAGAAGTTCTAACATCAGAATCAGATTGAGACTTATCCCAATTCCAAACTTCTGATTCCTTCACAATCACATCTCTGCTGAATTCAATTTTATTGGTTTCTGGACAATAGAGCTTGTATGCACCTGTACTGTGGTACCCTATCAGAATCATCACTTTGCTTCTATCATCCAGCTTCTGTCTTCTGGCTTCTGGAACATGTTTATAGCAAACAGAACCAAACACCTTCAGATGACTAACACTTTGCTTGTCTCCAGTCCACTTCTGCATAGGAACTATTTCCTTCAACTTCTTCGTAGGACATCTGTTGAGTACATACGTTGCAGTGGCAACAGCTTCTCCCCAGAGCTTCTGAGGAAGCTTCTTCTCCTTTAGCATGCTTCTCACCATATCAAGCAAAGTACGGTTTCTTCTTTCAGCAAGACCATTGTGTTGAGGGGTATAAGGAGCAGTA